AGTATATATATGATTAGAGATATATAAATAAGTATATAAATAATTAGAGATATAAATAATAAGTAAACAATATGTGGATAATTATTTTTGAATCCAGACTAAAATGTTATTACACTATATATATAAATTGGTCTGGGTTCAAAAATAATTATCCATGTTAATAGTACTTCAATAAGTCTGGAATTGGAATGTTTTTTTCTTGCTTTAGCATTGACCCACTTCGAACCCTTTTTCTTATTAAGATATCCTTCACGTTGATGGCGGTAACGCTCATAGATTATGTGTTTAATAATGTTATCAACTACTGGAAATACTCTTTTATTAATAGTTTTTGATACCAAAGGAATTATTTTATTATCTTAAAGGCTTGTTGCTCTTGATAAGTTTTATTGAGATCCAATGACTGATCATTTGGAAACTTCTTTAAAATAGCAACTATTTCATTCTAAATATATAAACAAATTAGTATCATCAAATTAAATCTAGTCATATTAAGAATATCAATATTATAAGTTAAGTTACCCTAGTGCATTCCTTAAACTTTTATCCATATCCTCATATTTAAGATATACATTTGGCACAGGATTTGAGGATGATTGAAATGAAGATAAAGAACTTGAATAATTCTTTGATCAGCTTCGGAAACGTTTCCATTTCGAACTACAACTTTTAAAGAATTCTATAATGAATAATAAATATTTAAATAAAATTTAGTTTTATACTTGAAATTAAATTTTTATAAAAAATTAATCAGGAATGAACTATTACCCCGTGAATGTTCTGAATATTTTGGATTATTCAATGGAGAAATACTTCGAGAACCTCTGGAAGTACTTCGGGAACGATAAAAACCTCTGAAAATACTTTGATAATGATCTCTAGAAGTACTTTGGGAACAACCTCTGGAAGTACTTTGGGAACAACCTCTGGGAGTACTTCAGGAATGACCTCTGGAAGTACTTCGGAAACAACCTCTGGCAGTAATTTGGGAACGACCTCTAGAAGTACTTTGGAAACAATCTCTGGCAGTAATTTGGCAATGATCTCAGGAAGTACTTCGGGAACAACCTCTGGAAGTAATTTGGGAACAACCTTTGGAAGTAATTTGGGAACGATCTAAGGAAATATTTCTAGAACGACTTTGAGAATAATTCACTTGTTTGCTATTCTTTCTAGAGTCTTTTTCACTCTGATTACTAATCTTTTTTTCGCCTTGCATATTTTTTAACATTTTTTGGACTTCGGCCCACGAGAATTTTGGGCTTAGAATACTTGAATCATCATCAGGATTATCATCCTTTTTGTGAGATTTTTTAGATCCAGACATACTATATATTGATTGACCTCT